AAAGGCACCACTATTCTGAAACATTAATAATATTTCTGTTGTATGCAGCCTTTAATAAGCTCAAATTTGCAACTCAGCTCTTTAAAGCCACATAATTAAGCTGTTTATTTAAAGTCTCTTCTTGAAATAAAAGCAATAGTCACCACCATGTCTTTGATTTGAGCACAGTGCCACTCCTAAGTAGTAATGTAATTAAAGATGAGCGCATTCCACTATGAATTAGTCTTATCTGTGCAGAATCCTGAATGCACTGACAGCACTGCAATAATTATAAACAGGCTGAATTCTTCATCAAATAGGAAACATATTTTCTCTAGCAGCGTAAGTAATACAGGGAGCAATATATGTAAAATTATCAGTCTGTTTTGTAACATCTGTACTTTTTTGAATAAAAGAAAAAAATCAGACTGAAAAGAGACAATTATTTTACTGTCTGTTTCTTAGATATCAGAAAGAGAATTTTGAAATTCATCAAAGCTAACCTTCTGTTATGTACAACAGGCTAAGCTGAAAAGAATGTTAACAAGTTCAATTTTCATTCAATCAGCACTACTGCTCTCTGAAATGTTTCATTGCAGGAAAGAAATAAAAATAATCTATATGGTAATTATGAGGATGAATCCCCCAGTAACTTTCAGCTACATGAAAGGTCAGTTCTATTCAAGATATTTTATCAGTCCCCTGCACATACTCCTGTCCTGTCATTTTAAATCTGAACAGCATTTTATTTTCCCATTTACAGCTACCTGCAGAATTAAGTACTTAAGCCAAATAAGAAAAAAAAAAAAAAAAAGAAAATGTTGAATGCTGGCAAAGGCTATAATAGCATGGAGATAAATCGTTCAGCTGCTCTCTCTCAAGCCTCTGGGGCTGCAGATTTTTCTTCTCCTGGTGCACTGTGGGTATTCAAAACTTGTTCAACATGATTTCATTTCATTTCAGGCACTGCCTGAGAAAACTAAATTACAGAATCAATCATACAGAAGGTCAGAGTGAGACTTCATTACAAGTATTGCATGCTTGCATGAATATCTTTCATTTATGACTGACCCAATATGTCACAATAGCTGTCTAGTAAAAATAATCCACTTTCTGAAATTGATGTACTACTGATGTCAATGCTACTCAGCAGGCTGGGCAGATTATAGAGAGGTGTTAAAAAAAGGAACCCTCAGGAGCACAACTTGTAGTTTTATAGAATTGCCACAGTTTGCAGATTAAAACAATTTTTCTATGGGCAGCTTGACAAAAAACAGAGCGTTACTATAAAATATTGGGGGTTGATTTTTAATGAAGATATCCCTGTTGATTTCCACTTATTTATATGCAAGTATTTATAGGGATAATATTTGCACCACGTAAATCCACATGTTCTTTGAAGTCAGATGTACATCAACACTCCATTCAGTGACTCATTTTTGAACATCAGGATTTTATTTGCATATTATTAAAATATTAAAATTAATCAAACTACCTCCATTTTAGCTCCTCTTTTTGTTGCTGTTGTCTGTTTTTGAATGTAGAAAAATGCTGTTAAGTAAGATAAATGTTTTGTGATTATTGCCAATAACAATGCAGTTAATCAGCATTGTGACAAATTGTCGTTCTTTCCGTAGCACGTATATCTTAATAGTATGAACAACTGTTAACTCATCAATAGGATCTTTTAGTAATTGCTAGGCCACATTTATGCTGAGAATAAATATCTTTCTTGCACCATGAATGATTTCTTCAATATAATAATACACAAAGAATATGTTAAAAAGAGAATTTTTTTTTTCTTTTGGTCTGCTGTGGGAAATACGCGAGATACTTGCAGAAGTATTACGAGATAGCTAGCCAACTCCACACCCTAAGGGAGACACAGGAAAACCTTGACATAACCTATTTTTAACCATGCCTCTGGCGATTCCGCATTGAAGTTTATAGGTGAACATGTCAGGTAGTACATAGGAAAAAAGCCAAAGACACAGTATTAATCATAATTCTGTCCAAGCCCATTTTATTTTTTCAACATTTGTGATTTAAAATCTCATGACATTTCTTCAAGGTGAAATTCTTCTACCGAACTTTTCAACAGGGTAGGACTACATTTATCTAAATTAAATATTGCTTACAGTAAAGCTCTCTAATGCTTCACAAGATAACCAATAAACTCAATGTAGTTCATATTAAAATAATTTAAGTTTGTATTCAGCTAAAGAAGCTCTAGTGATTAGCAATACGCTATTAATACAGCCTTTAAATAAGAGTCTCCTAATATCGCTGGATAAGAACACTGTTCTGTAAGTGTATACGAACATCATAATTATTTTACAACCCCATCTTTAGTTCTTTCAGATATAGCAAATTCAATTGACCATGAAATGAAATTTCATAGTTAAAATGCCTCCTTTACTTTTTTTTTATTGCTGCAATAAAGTTTTTATAGCTCCAAGATAAGGTAATTCATGAAATGTCTAATTTAAAGATGAATTCTAATATTATTAATAAATATTTACCAGTTTAATAAAGTGCACATTTTTCACATAAAATATGAAATAAAGGTTTCATTTTCTATTTTTAAAATACAGATTAACTTCTGGAAAATTTGAGTACTAAAGAGGGCTATGCAAGTTCAGGGGAAACCTATGCCAGGCCACCCCATCTCACAGGATAAAACAAATCAAGCATTGTGGGGAAGTGTCTGACACACAAACCTCCCTATGTGACTCCTCCATATCAAGTCACTCAATTCCTCATCAATTCTCTGCAGCAAAACTACACACAAGTTCCCAACACACAGCTTTGAACTGACAATCACCCTAGAAGATACCAATGGACTACTGGGATAAGAAGGTATGAGCTTCTCTAGATCTTCTGTTTGACCTATACAGGAACAAATTCTTACCACTGAAGTCAATGTGAACTACACCATTAATTTCTACATTGCACAGTCTAGGAGAAAAAAAGAAAAGATGTAAAGCCTCTCATCCAGTGCAAGAAGTGGTGAGAGAGGATATCAAGCCAGGAGGCCTGTTCTGGTTTGAACTGTTAAGGTGACAGCATTTACTCATGGAAGAATCACATTCAGTGAAAGGACACAAGATTAAAAGGCAAATCTGGGTCAGGTTAGGATCCACTTGATAACACTGAGGGGATATTCACACACGGAACGCAACACTGATCCAGCCCGTGATATTTATTACATATTTCTGAGCAAGTTTCATTGTATTCAGTGTACAGACGCTCCATTACTTGAGTTTTCAGGCATAACATTCCTGACGCTCAGGTTTTATTAATCTGATCTTTAGTAGTCACCCAACACGTCCAGGGCATACAAAATGCCATGCAAAACGGGATCTGAAAAGAAGTATTGTATCCTTCAAGGCCCGTTTAAGGCAGTGCCTGCTTTGTATCTCTGGAACTACTGAATTCTGTACCTCTGAAGTAGTGAGAAGTTTGTGCTTAATTGTGTATTAGTTCTAGCTACTCTTCATGACCTCCAAGGAAATACTAAAATCTTCAATGAAGCCAGCAGCCTGCAGAATTCCAGAGAAATATTTGCTTTGTGTTGACTGGTAAATCTTTAATTAATTTTTGCTTGACAGAATAATAAAAAATAAAAAAATATTTACATGAAATCATAACATGACAACTCGATTACCTTTATCACGGTCCAGCAGTAAATCTGTATTTTCGCTACATCAAGTTTAGCAAAAGTTCGTATATAACTAATCAGAAAAAAATATAGTTAACGTAAAGTATCTGTTCAAGCTAAACATTCACTCTGTCTTCAATATGCAATACAGAAACTAATTCTAATTGTAACCACCGAGTTTAAAATGTTCAGTAGGATAAACTCACTCACAGCTGTGTCGCATCACTGCGAGTATGAATGTTACTGCACAAAGCTTAGAGAAATCCAAAGCTGAAAGGGAAATACCACAAGAAAGTGGAAGCCACCCCGTACACCCTCTCACTGAGATCGCAGCCATACAAAGTGTGCACATTCTGGAGAAGACTCCATACAGCCTTGGTTTTGATTGTTCTAATTAACAGGATGATCACTGGAATTAGCCTATCAGTCCCTGTCATCCAGCCCTTCCCCACACCCAGATCAACCCTCCCCATTCCAGAGGGTTTGGAAGTGGCTCAGGAACAGAACAGGCCAAACCTGCCCCAGCCTCCATGGTCAACAAAAGCACTGGACAGAACAAAGTCTTTTTATAGCCCTGTATTTCTTACATGGTCAAGGTAATATATCCCTATCACTTGTATTATGAGTTAAAAAAAAAAAAATCAATTTCCATTTATAGAAATTTAGCCCACGAAATATAAAGAATACAGGGAAAGATATGGGTTTTTACTGCTGGCATACTGTGTCTAGCTCCCTTTCTGAGCTACTCTCAATACTGCACTTTCCAAATATCCCAATGGCTGTCAGATATGGGTCCTACACTTGAAATACAGATAAGCAATTCCTTCTAAATGCTGTAGTTCACCCTGGTGAACACAATGGTCTTTCAACTCTTGATGCCAGCGTCAACTATATAACACATTTTTGAATTTAAGCAGCATGTGGGATGCACATGATGCCAAGGGATATGGGCTTCCAAGCCCATTCCCCAAACCAAAATTCTGTGTTTATAAAGCCTGACTGCTTCTTTGTAAGAGATCTGTTCACATGCAGTATAACATTGCACTACACATTAACAACCACGTTTATCTTTCTGAATCCACCAATATTAAACCGTTAACCATTTGCCAAAGGCCTTAGGGAACAGAATAATAGCATATCATTGTTTGCTGCGTAACACTGACAACATGTGTCATCATTCATACAGAACACGCCTGCACATGATACAGAACATTGGCAAATGCTTGGTCAGGCTACAATACCAAGAAATCACACAGATTTTCTGAGAGGTCAATTAAAACTGATGGACAACACAAATCCACATTACTATGCTTTGACAGACAGTATTAGGCGACAGAAATGCACAAAGAACCAGACCTACCATATGCAATCCATTGCTGTGGATGATGCCGTCTTGCTCCACAAGATTTCGGGATATTGTAATTGAGGGAAGATCCAAGCTCTGGGGGGGAAACTGAGGTGTAAATTCATTTCCTTGTGCAGGCAGCTGGTCACCAAGGCCCTGAAAGGGCAGCAGTATATCTGCCATCCCCAGTGCAGGGTCTGACTCGGGTGGGGGGGTAATGGGTGGGATTTCGAACTCCTCGTCCCCAAGGCTTGGCGTATGGAACGTCTGCTAGAAAAGGACAGGACAAGGCAAACCATGTTAGGGCACACTGCTCTTAGCAACCACCTCCAGTCCAAATCTTGTTTTGTTCTCAAATGCAAACCTATGCCAACAAAATTTTAGTTTTGTATACTGAAGGGGTTTGTGGATCATTCTGATAGAAGATGTAAGTCTCATTATCATATGGCTTTAATGTAGTATCAGTATTAACAGTTTCTTAATGCGTACTTAATTAGCAACATCTGTCTTTGTTGTTAGTCTGAATATCAGCTACATTGGATTTGGCTATATAACAAATTGCCACTTTATTGATATGTTAGTAAAATAGCACAAACACATTAGATTACTCTCATGCTTCATAAAATACTGACAATTTTGTTGTACATACACATTAATTCAGCACTGACCACTTCACATCATTTGTTTCCTTTTTATCCACTAATAAACATGAAATATTATAATTCTGGCCTTTATTTTTTTTCTTTTCCATCGCAAAAATACAATGCACTCTTTTAAACAAGGGTTGTAATTTGGAAGACACACACACATAAAAGCTTCCAGTGCTTTCTGAAGCTAAATAGCTTTGTTTGAACAGTAGGTTTGTTACAAACTAAACACCTGTTAAGATGCCTTGAGCAAAAACATTTACTGCCAGTTATCTCCATGGTTTGCGCGTGTTTGTACGTGTGCATGTGTCTGTCAAAGATAATCTTTATTCAAGTAGAGTCTGTATCTGGCTTCAACACTGCTGACTTTTATTTGGGAAACAAATGAGCTATGCTTATTCAAATTTCTTGTGAGTTAAATGAACTTTCATATATTATTTCAGGTCCACTGCTACTTAATAATAGAAATTCAGTGCTTGAAATTAGGCCATTTTAAATGTACCCAAATCAGGACTGTCTTGATCAAATTGGGCAGTTGGCAATTCTAAAATAGACGCTCTTGTCTTGTTCCGGACATGCAAGGCTGCTCTGGGATTTGTTTGTTTGCGTTAGTTCAGGATTCGAGTTGGGGGCGGGGGGAATTGTTTTATGTATTATTTACATTGTTTGAAAGAGTGACTTAATGCCAGTTAATTTAAAAATGATATGTTCAGTGAAAGATCTCATTAACTGCTGCAAATTGTCATCCTTCAAACTGTTAATGATGATATAAATTAATAACCGCTTGAGAGAAGATGGAAACTAAAACACAAGAAAAACCTTTGCTTGCATATAGAACCTGTCAGCTGTCATTATTGGTCTCACACCAGAAATGATGAGGTCCCAGATTGCTGCAGTCTGCAGTACTGTCAAAGTCTGCTGAGACTCTACCCATCTTGCTCAAACTGCAAGACTGTAACTTAATTCCAGACGTGAAAGCTGGGCCTGGATTAGGGAGATGTTTGACTTCCTCGCTGCTATATTACAAAAGGTGTGAATTTTTCTTCCTGTGAACCCCATAGTTCACAAACACAAAGGGTGGATTGGCCAGGAGAAGTGGTTGGCTAATGAACATAACCCTATGGCTGCATTTGCAGTTATTTTGGCACTAATGTGGTCTAGTAACAGATGCAACTGTAATTTGTGACTCATTTGCTACCCCATTACTGCTTAATGAAATCTAACATATCACATTAACAATACGGATAAACACTCATTCTTGATATGTGGCATTTGGCTGTTTTCATTACCACTGTAATTAACACTTGAAATATTATTTCAATAAATATTTAAGGTGCTTTAAAATGGGTCGTAGTAATCATGACATAGAGAGAGAAAACATAAAGCAAATGTGTGGCTTCTAAGCCTGAATGTGCTCTAGGATTACACTCTGAAGGTGTTGTTTACAGGAATAAAATGGGCTTCTAGCTCTGGAGTGCTCAGGCCCAAAATCAGTGAGAAAATGACATTCATGTTAATGTAAAAACACTATAATTAAATACATTGTAATGCAGTAATTGCAAAGTTAGGTTCACGCTTTAATGCAAACACTAACAATCATATTTTTATTCTGTGTTCAAGCAAAAGGTTCAGTGAAATCAGTATTATTATAGTACGTTTGAACCTCTCTTTACTTCACATCTTTATAAGATAGTAGTAATTATAAGAACTGAATCTTTTTTCCCCATCTAGTAGAATAACTCTAGGACAGCTGTATAAATATGTAACAAAGCTAGATAACAATACAATATTTTACTTAGAAAAATAGTATTCATCTTAATACTTATAGCTTACTACAAATGAGAGTGTAAATTGATGAATATTTTAACATTTTTTAAATGTGAGTTTAATTCTCACAATATAACTTGTCCAAATACGTATATATCTTTTTTAAAAAACATACAATGGACCTAAGATTGAGGATAAAATAGATGTAATCTAAGAAGAAAGCAAGCCCCTTAGTGAAGCAGTCTTAATTCCAAATCACTGGGCTATTCAGTCTGTAAAAAGAGCCTGAATAGTACACCATTTGGGATTACAGAAAGGTGCTGTTATGAGCAAAAGATGGTATAACATTTCTGGGATTTATCTTACCAATCACATTTTTTAAAGTTATTAACTTTTCAAATATTTATATCTTTCACATTTTTAAAAACAACTGTGTGCATGGTTAAATGCCATCTGTACCGAAATGTTCGAAACATTTGTTCCTTTTGATAAAAATGCAAATCTGGAGAACTGTTGTATCAACATATAACAGCCAATGTCTGACACGGTGAATTATCACAGCTGGAATTAAATTGTCTCTGAACAGCTGCTGGCAGCAGAGCTTTCATCAATGTTTGATTCAAATGTAGGAAAGAAATTCTACAGAAAGAAACATCATGTTGACATTACAGATGGGGTTTGTGTTCATTATCACAAATAACACCGGAGCTAGAGCCAAACAATATTCCCTTATCTAAGCGGTCTTGCTGGGTAAAAAGAGATGGTGACCATTGTATAAATGATTCATAAAATACGACTCTTAATTTTAACGTTCACATTTATTGTTACACCTTTCTGCTTATTTCCTCCAAGATCGCTTTTTAAAAAGTGCACAAGAACTCCTGCAACTGAATCGCCACTTACAAGATGTAACATCACGGCTGCCCAGCTTTCTAACCTTTCCTCATACTGGGAACATCATTTATGGCATGCGCTCTATATAAATACTTAGTTCTTGTTCTCCATATTGCAATGCACATTACTAGAAAGTGCATCCTGCACTTTCCCTTTGGAATAAGAGCTGTGGGGTTTTAGCAATGAGCAAAAGGTGTTTCTGTCTGAGGTCAGTATTAGCACATTGACAGTCTATTAAGTGGCTGTAAGGTGGAACCACTGTAATAAATACATGAAGACTGCCGTTGCCACACTTTTCTCCTGTTTCCATTCTCAAAGGCAGTGATCAAATACATCACCTCCACCACCCAGCCAGCCTCCACCAGCCTGGCCCCAGGCTTCGCTTCTGATCCTGGTCAGAAGTTCCTTTCACGCAGCACATACACTTCAGGCAACAAAGTTGGTTTGGGTTTTCTAACTTATACGAGTATTAAGAACCCAAATTAAAATGTTTGCGTCTATAACAGAAATTAGCACATTAGTGAGTAACGACTATTACTAAGCTTGCTTTCAAAGTATACACCTACTGTGCTTTTTATTTGTTTCCTTCTGCTTATAATTTTTTTCATACATAAAGCAGATTTGTTTCTATTGACATGCTATGTAAGTAAGAGCCTTATGGACAGCTAAATTGACTAGTAATGGAGAGCTGTCAGGTTATTTTCTTTCTCATTAAAGTCTTTATTTTGTGCTCCATAAAACACACAGAAATTCAGCACTTCACTCTTCATGCATTCCAAGTCTGTTAAATTATCACAGCAAAAAGCAGAATATGAGCATAGATAAAAGAAAAACATCTACCTCATTTGCAGCAAGAAATGCGTTGTTTGCCTCTGCCATGTTCATGTAGTTGTTATTGCTTCCAAACTGAAATAAAAATAAATATTTGGATTTTAATACATGCCACAATAAACTTTTCTTTACCCCATCACTGGCATAGAAAATGTTGGAAAAAAAAAAAAAAAAACAAACCAAAAAACGAACCCAAAACAACAAACAGATGAGATGTAATTTTGTAGATGTTCTTTGAAGTCATAACTAGATTGGATTTGACATTATTATTATTACATACTCTGCATCCCCAGATCTGTACATGGAAGATATCCAAGTCTATCTCTTCAACTTTCTTTGTCCATACAGCAAAGCCACCCCACAGATCTAGAGGTGACTTTGGAAATTAGGTGTCAGTTAGAAAGAGACTAGTCTCCAGAAAAGACATTTCAACTCTACCACATCTTTCCTGACATGCATTATAATTATTTCTGCAGATGATCCTGATCCGGAGGATTGCTGCAGCTAGAAGTAGCTGGTGTATTACTATTCCAAGTAGACCTGGTTTTAGAGATGAAGGTCAATACAGGGAAGAATGAGAA